TTGAAAAATAATTTCTGTCTAAATATCATGTCATGCTTTCCCCACTGTGACTGTTAAGTAAACAACCAGTGCTTTTGGGTATGTCAGGTTCTGATGAGTACATGAAAATTAACCAGAGCAATTTAGTTTAAAAGGAAAATTTGCATTCAGAAAGTTCTACAAAAAAGCAATATCCTACAAGCAGTTGTGCGGCAACAAGTGTTGTAGCGATATTGTTTTAATTGATTATTAATTTGGCCGTCAATCTCTTAACAGGTCAGGAAACAAAAAAGGCCATTGCGTTTGTTCTGTGTGTTCATGAAGGGGTTTTTTTTGAGGTGGAAAGAGAGAACATCTGCGGACATGTGCATGTCCACTGATTAATCTCTCATTAGCAAAAGTGAGTGTTAGCAAGCTCACACTTATCTGTTGCTTTTTCTTATGAAATCCTGTAGTGTTGTAGCAAGAGCTGAAGTGGCATATAATCAGTTTCATTGCAAAATTATGAGGAATTTTGCTCATTTGTCTTTTAAGCACAGCTTTTTCATGTATGTGTATGATTAATTTATTTACTTCAGTTCTGCCTGTTAGGTGCAGCAGCACCTTTGTCAAGGCAGCTGAGGTGACCCCTGTGGGCAACTCTGTGCTGATGTGAGGCTGGCTGCAACTCTTGTGACATTGGGGGAGAAAGTTACGTCTAGTCTCCTTTCGCATCCATCAGCCACAGATTACTTATACCAGTCCCCTGAGCCTAAAAGTTATGTATTAAACAGCTTCTTTGTCATTTATTCTGAGAAACTGGCTCTCCCTCACCCTCCTGGAAGAACTAGGAGGTGGGGAAGATGTGCCCATCCAGGGTGGTAACAATCCCCTCCTACTGAGGCAGAGCACCTGCAGCCCTGGTTCGTGACCACTGCAATATGCACTGCATACCTCCGTTATGTGTCCAGCAGATCAGGGAGGTGATTCTCCGCCTCCACTCTTGTGAGACCCCACCTGGAGTACTCCTCTTGGGCCTCCAACACAGGAGGGATGTTCTCAAGTGAGTCCAGAGGATGGCCACAAAGATGATCAGAGCGCTGGAGCATGTCTTCTATGGAGACAGGCTGAGAGAGTTGGTCTTTTCAGCCTGGAGAAGAGAAGGGTCTGGGGAGACCTTCTAACAGCCTTCCAATACCTAAAGGGGCCTTACAAGAAATCTGGAGAGGGACTTTTTACAAGGGTATGTAGTGATAGGACAAGGTCTCGTGGCTTTAAACGGAAGGATGGTAGATTCAGATTAGACATTAGGAAGAAATTCTTGACCTTGAGAGCGGTGAGACACTGGCACAGGTTGCCCATAGAACGTTCAGCTGCCCCATCCCTGGCAGTGTTCAAGGCCAGGTTGGACGGGGCTTTGAGCAACCTGGTCTAGTGGAAGGTGTCCCTGCCCGTGACGGGAAGGTTGGGACTAGATGATTTTTAATGTCCCTTCCCACCCAAACCATTCTATGATTCTGTGTGTGCAAGACCCTGTAGATTCAAATCTACTCTGCCACTGAAGCTGATTTTGGGACCCAGCCTATCCATCTTCCACTGTATCCCATAGCTAGCATGAATGTTTTCCCTAGCAAATTGTCATTATTCAGAGGACGCGCTGGGCCAAGTTGCATATGGCTGGGAGCATACTGATACAAGAGCCCAAACAGAAATTTGCCATACCAGGTAGCAATACATGTCCCTTCTGAGCTTTCCAGACTGTTTCTACTGCAGCCCCAAAGCTACTAAATGCTTTCATTATTTGCCCACTGCAAAAGCAGTGTACCTTGGAGTTTCATTTACTTTTGTTAAGAAGTTTCTCAAAAAAGCCCACTGACCCCTGACCCCCAAGCCCCACTTCCCTGTGAATAGTTAGTTTGAAAAAATAAACATTACACAAATTATGGGGCTGACACAAAGTGTGTGTTGCCTAAAGTTCTCCTCAGCCTCCCTGGGGAATGGGTTTCTTCTCAGGAGACTTCACCTTGCTTTTGTCACTCTTCAGATTACCTTTTTTTTTTGTTTGCTTTTTTGGCATGAGATTACTTGTCAGTTGTTCTTGAATTTTTCTTTAATATAAGGACTTGTGTTGGTAGAAATAGTATGGCTTTTAGAGTGTGAGTATAGCAAGAGCCTTATTTTCCTGCTTTTCTCAGAATTTATGAAGCAGTTGCACATTGAATTTTTGACTTGAATAAAAACTTGGCCAAATATTATTCACAAAGCAACGTACAAAGTTCTGTACACAGAGTTGTCTATGTGCTAGTGCTATAGCATTTTGGGTTAATTCTGAGGGCTTAATTTACGTCAGCTACAGTAGGCGAAATCCACAAACCCAGCAGTGCTTTCAGTTTGAAGTCACTGTACATCTGAGGTCACATTGTAAAAGTCACCAAACTGCAAGTGGCATGAATGGCTGACCTTCATTCGCTTCCTCTAAAGTATTTGGGGACACTCAATGTTTAGAATCACAGAAACTGTATCTGAATTTTTCAGCTGCTGTGTGTTTTCTTTTAGCTGCCATATAGATTTCACAGGATGTTTTGCAGACTCAGATTCATTGTTTTGACTTTATAGGTACTGCAGGCTGTTTCCTCTTTAGGCTTTAACAATGTTTGTAGAAGACATCAAAAATTGCTAGACATCTCAGGGTAAATTTATTAACTAAGCTACTTCTAATGCTCTTTTAATTCAGAATGGTTGGATTTCAAGTTAAATGTTTATTTTAACAAAGATGTTCAAGCTAAACAGGTAACTGTTACCTAGCATGTC